CATGTATTCATCTAACGCAACATTTGACCAGAGCGTCATTAATTCTCTTCAATTTTCTCTGCTCGTCGATTTGATCAATCGAAACCAAACAGAAGAGTTATGGTCGATTGGATTTCAACTGAGTGATATATTGCTTCAGTGTACCTATAACGAAATTGATTGTTCAAAATTATTTACGCCATCCATATCGACAGCATTCGGCAATTGTTTTACATTCAATTGGCAGACAGCAACAAGAATATTTACAATTAGTGATTTTGCCGCAGCTTACGTGCCAAAAGAAGGTCTCTTAATGACATTCTATATACCACGGGAAATGTATTTTCCGACAGAAGATGGTGTAGGACTAACAATTTTGTTGCATGATAATAATCAGCTTCCATTGCCAAACGAAAATGGTTTAAGTCTTGGGCCTGGTTTATTCCACTTAATAACCTATCGTAAGACTGAAACAACCTTTCTTCCATCGCCCTATACAAAATGTAGGTCCGATGTGAGTATCGATATGCTTGCTCTCTACAAAACAACTTTTTTCAACAATTCAATATCGACTACTATTGGATACTTGCAATCGGTATGTCTTGAATTGTGTGAACAGTCGTATATATTCTCTCAATGCTCATGTATCAATGCAATACCATTTCTGACACGAAGCGTATTGACACTTGATGGTCAGTTTGTATCTGCAAATTTCTGTAAACCATCTACTCAACAAGCACCATGTTCATTTAAAGCTACAAGTGAATTCACTGCGAGTCAACAACTACAATCATTGTGGTGTTCGCAGTGTAATATTCAATGTCAGAATATAAATTTCATGGGCGATCTTAGCGCACAAGCAGCTCCTTCTGAAGGAGATATAAGCACTTGGAAAGCTACCCTACTCTATGGAAATAATGAAACTAGAGTTTTGTTGCCAAATGATTTTGCACAACGCTTCGATTACTACTTCAATCGAAATTTCTTGAAAGTTCGCGTAGCTTGCGGCAGTAAATATGTCACCGAGTATCAACAAGATGCAAAATTAACAATAATTGACATGTTTTCTGCGATTGGTGGACAAACAGGCTTGTTAGTATAAGTAAATCTTTCTTTGAACATTCAATGATTTTATGCTATTTCTATATAGGTGGATCGGCCTGAGCGTTTTAAGTGTAATCGAATTGAGTGAACTTGTCTATCGACTTATCTCCGAATTTTTCAAACAAAGGAATAATCGAAGACATGTTCACACTCAACTAGCAGCTAATAAAACAATTGATGCCAGAAAGGAATGCTTCTGATTAATGGAACATTGATATTCTTAATATCAAATCATAAATGTTTGTTTTGATTATATTTACTAGACCTCAAGTGATCACTTGCACTTGTTGTATTTTGAGTCAGTTCAAAACCGAGTTTGGCTGTAGGTATCGCTGTTTACATAACAACAGTCCTTGTATCATATCAACCTTTTTGGGACACTCAATATATGTAATCTCATTTAAGTGAACACTGTCAATAGTCATTGTATCAAGAAGACGACGCTAAACGATAGACATATTTTTCTTTTTATTCATTAGTCTGTGCTACTTTAACCTAAGTGCAATAAGAGATGAATGTCAAAAGGCAAGAAGGAAAGCAATAGAAATGACTCATTAGTGTAAAAGAAACTGTCATGACAGTTTTCAAACAATAATAAAGAAAATAAATAAAAAAAAACACTGAAACAAGTATCTACAGGATTGTTTTAAAGTAACTGAACAGTTTTTAATTGGGAATAACTTTTGATAGGAATAAGACAGAGAGATGCGTTTCTCACCGTTTGAAAGAAGAGATGAAGACATATAAAAGGTAATGTTATAGATTTTTCTCAAATGTTTTTTAAGATTTTCTTAATCGATTTTCTAAAAAAAGAATTGCTGGAAAAAGTTTTATAAAGTAAAAAGAACACTCAAAGTGATTTTTTTTCACAGAAATTGAGAGAATAATTAGCTCATAATTTCTATTAGAAAATCTATAACTTCTGAACTGGTAACTCTCAAAGTTCGAGCTTGACATAGTTTTCTAGGCTTCTGACTGTCGATTAGAATGCACACTTAGTCATAAAAGATTCAGTATGATCACCTTACGCAGTACGTTGATTTAAGTCCTTGAAATAACTCAGTTAAATTAAATTCAATTATACGATTCTAATCATCTTTATCGCCTCTTTCGAACGATGAAAACTACAGCTCTCTATCTTGTTGTTAAAAGCAGTTATTCACAATCAAAGAATGCCCAATTACTTTTGGACTACCCTGTAAAATGTTTAGAAGAGTTAATATTCTAGAGTAATTTTATCAGAAAATAATTGTTGCTAACTCACAGTATATAATGAAGTTAAATAATGTTTGACTAAAATGTTAACCATTAATTTGATGATGGAAAAAGTCATTTTTCTCTTTGAAAGAGAGGAAGAGCTGCGAAACTTGAATCTGAAATTGATCTCACTATCTTCTTTGAAAATATATGTGAGTGAGTTCTGCAAAAGACAATTCAGTACATCTCATTGAACTCAAAGTTCAATGTGGAAATAATCTCAACTATAGAAAATTACATAGAAAGATAATGAAGAATATTCGGTATGCACTTTGAAACGTACGACCTTCGATTTTCAACGAGTTTCATCCAAAAAAAAAAATTTGTTTTGAAATTGGTTCAATGTTAATGTACAAACTGCTCGAAATCAATAAAAAACTTTGTGACATTTGTTTACCTCTTTTAATCCGACCTTAGGATAATTAGATTTTTTTCATTTAGAATATTCACATAATGAACTTTTCAAGGTAATGTCAACAAAAAAAGAATATAAAATAGAAGTTTAGAAGAATGCAATCAATTTTTCCTAAAAGTAAATGGCAAGAAATGGGGTGTGGACGTGAGCGTGGGTGTGGGTGTGGATGTAGGTGTATGTAAGTGTAGATGTGCGTGGGTGTAGGTGGGTGTGGGTGTGTATATGTGTGTGGATGTGGGTGACAAAAGGACTTCACTGAATTCCAACCCACACTCACAAACATATTCACACCTACATCCACTCCCACACTCCACCCACCCACACTCACACCCACACCATACCCACTTACACCCCACTCTCACACACTCATACCCTCCACATTTCGGCTCCTCTTGGGATCGCACTAACAAGTTTTTTCAAATGGAAACAAAACTGTACAACGGGCCGTAAGAAGAGACAGAAATGTAACATATCATTCATACACAATATCTAAAAGATCTACATACACTCCACCTTCTTACCCACCATGGATAGACAAATTCACTAAACATAGAGAAAAGCTTCCAGTACACATTTTTAACAAAGCAAACTTCCTTTGATTTTACTGGAATCACTGTCAGGACAGATTTGTGACCACTTGTGGTTCTTGTTCCTTCGATAGTCTGGATGAAGACAGAAAACCCAGATGGAAACACATAGTCAATAATGCGACCATTTCTTAGTGATGTCGAAGAGTCTGAAGTAAATGGACACAGAAACAAAGAATCCGACCACTATAGCAACATTTCAACTTTGGCTTTATCCTGTTGAAGATCCACATTAAAATCACCGAAGACAATACAATTAAAACAAATTCATGTAGTCAAATCGTTCCAATTCCAAGATCTCGCCTCCAAACTGTACAGACCTAAAAGTCTCAATTGTACTGCAGAGTCCTGATGAGCGTTTCAATACATTAATAAATAACACAAAACCCGCCAGCAAACTTAACTCTGTATTTCTTTTAAACTATTTTACTTCAACACATTTATCTATTATTATTCTCTTGTTATTTAATTTTCGACAGAAAATTAATTGCTGAAAGACAAAGTTAAGAATAGCAGATTGAACTTGTCTTTTCGTTAATGGATAGGTCGCTGTTTTCTAATTGACAATAGTACAAAGCACGTCTACGAAGTTATCTGTGCATTTATCTTTATTTATTACTTATACAATGTATATTATTTTATCATTAAATTTCTATTTGGCTTTCGACTTTATCGGTTGCTGAAAGGTAAGAATTGACAGCAGCAGATTGATCTGTCTCACAGGCATATAGGCCAATCTGTTTTTCAATTGATTTATCTACCATGATGAGATTCTTAAGCAAGGTCCGAACGCCTCCAAGTTTGCTTCACTCATCATTGCAGTAACGACATCTGCTATTATGATGGAGAGTCTTTTGAGAATTTGCCGTGAAAATTATAGACTATGTATCACACTTTTGATGTTCCCAATGATTTGAATGGATTCTTAGTCAGCACTGTGTGATAAGATCCTTAAGCGAGGTAGAAACGCGTCATACTTTGGTTGAGACAGTCACTCTCAATCGCAGTTTATTTGAGCATAGAAGTCAAAAGATGAATAAGAAAAGATTACAAGAAATATTAGTGAGGCTAAGTAGAAGTTAAAAACAGTGAATAAAATTTAAAAAAGTTCAAGGTAGAAGTTGCAACATTAACAAGTCTGCAAAAAAATTTTTAGATTGTCAGCTCCTTCATTGGCAACGACGAAATCCAGCTTTCCATCATTGTCCAAATCGCCAACGGAAACGGAGAACGGAAGAGAGCCATAACCGATCGAAAAACTTTTTACATCAGCGAAGGAGCCATTACCATATCCAAGCAACACACCGACGTTGCTTGTGCCATAATTGACGACAATAATGTCCAGCAAGGTGTCGTTGTTGAAATCACCAACGGCAACCGCGTTCGGTTGAGAGTTGAAACCGGTTGAAAACGTTTTCTGGCTTGAAAAAGAACCATTACCAGATCCAAGAAATATACCAATACTGTCATTGCCATGATTCGCGACCACGATATCAAGTATGGTATCATTGTTGAAATCACCAACAGCTACAGCCCATGGAGAAGAATCAGTTGAGTATGCCATCTGATTTGCAAAAGAACCATTGTCATATCTCAGAAAAATACCGGTGTTGTTAGTGCCTGAATTCGCAACTGCAATATCTGTTTGACCATCATTGTTAAAATCCCCAATGGCGAACGATCTCGGTCGAGATCCATTCCCAGTTATGAGCCTCATTTGATTTAGAAAACCTTCATTTGGATGTCCGAGATATACACTAACCCTTGCCTGATTCAAATCAGCAACGATGATATCCAAATGAGTGTCATTATTAAAATCACCAACAGCTACCGATGAAGGACTAATGCCAGTTGAATAGATCATTTGATTTGCAAAAAATCCATTGCCATATCCAAGAAAGACACTCATATTGTTGCTATCCCAATTAACGACGATGATATCCAGTCGATTGTCACTATTAAAATCACCAATAGCTACAGAGTATGGTGCAGAACCAGTTCGATATGTCTTTTGATTTGCAAAAGAACCATTTCCATATCCGAGAAGAACACTTACAGTCTTGTTACCCAAATTAGCGACGACGATATCCAGTCTGGTATCGTTGTTAAAATCACCGACAGCTACAGAGTATGGCCAAGTGCCAGTTGAATATGTCGTTTGATTTGCAAAAGTACCATCAGCATGTCCAAGAAGGATGCTTACGGTGTTGTCATCATAATTAGCGACGACGATATCCAATAGGCTATCGTTATTAAAATCACCAATAGCTACAGATTGCGGGCCAGAGCCAGTTGAATATGTTGTTTGATTTGTAAAAGAGCCATTTCCATATCCGAGAAATACACTTGTAGTGTTGTCATCATAATTAGCAACGACGATATCTAGTCGGGTATCGTTGTTAAAATCACCGACAGCTACAGAGTATGGCGAAGTGCCAGTTGAATATATCGTCTGATCTGCAAAAGAGCCATCTCCATATCCACGAAGCACACTTATAGTGTTATCATTCCAATTAGCCACAACGATATCCAGATGGGTGTCGTTATTAAAATCACCAACAGCTACAGAGTATGGCGAAGAGCCAGTTGAATATCTCACTTGATTTGCAAAAAAGCCATTTCCATATCCGAGAAGGATGCTTACAGTGTTGTCGTACTGATTAGCGACAACGATATCCAATCGGGTGTCATTATTAAAATCACCAACAGCTACAGAGCGTGGCCAAGAACCAGTTGAATATGTCATGTGACGATCGAAAGACCCAAGATTATATGTGACAAGCACATCTACATGATCGATGCCATCATATGCGACAATAATTTCTGAACGTCCATCTTTGTTGAAACTACCAGCACCAATCATCAATGGAGCGTAATCGAAATTTACACCGTAACTTGCTTGATTTTCAAATATTCCATCCCCACTTCCCAGAAACGTAACAAGATTTTTAGTACCATAATTGGCCACAGCTATATCTACTCGGCCGTCTTCATTGAGATCTTGGATAGCAATTGAGTAAGGATGAGAATTTAAGCCTGTTGAGAGCACCATTTGGTTTCCAAAAGTGCCAGTCCCATGTCCAAGAAGAATACCTATGTTATTGGTACCATAGTTGGCAACGACGATATCTAGTAGGCTATCGTTATTGAAATCAAAAACAGCAAAGCTGCGTAAACGAGAACTATTGGCAGATGCAAATGTAATTTTGTCTTTCAGAGCTCCTCTGTCATATCGAAGTAGTATACTTACATTGTTGTCATACAAATTAGCAACGACGATATCCGGTCGGCTGTCGTTATTAAAATCACCAATAACTACAGATTGTGGGCCAGAGCCAGTTGAATATGTTGTTTGATTTGCAAAAGAGCCATTTCCATATCCGAGAAGGACACTTATAGTATTGCTACCAAAATTGGCGATGACGATATCCAGTCGGGTGTCGTTGTTAAAGTCACCAACAACTACAGATTGTGGGCCAGAGCCAGTTGAATATGTTTTTTGATTTGCAAAAGAGCCATTGCCATATCCGAGAAGTACGCTTATAGTGTTACTACCCTTATTAGCAACGACAATATCCAGATGGGTATCATTGTTAAAATCACCTACAGCTACAGAGTATGGCGAAGAGCCAGTTGAATATTTCGTTTGATTTGCAAAAGAGCCATTGTCATGTCCGAGAAGCACACTTACAGTTTTGTCATTCACATTAGCAACGACAATATCCAGTAGAGTGTCGTTATTAAAACTACCAACAGCTACAGAGTATGGTGTAAAACCAGCTGAATACTCTGTTTGATTTGCAAAAGAGCTATTTCCATATCCAAGAAGGACACTTATAGTGTTGCTACCAAAATTGGCGATGACGATATCCAGATGGGCGTCATTGTTAAAATCGCCAACAGCTACAGATTGTGGGCCCAAGCCAGTTGGATATATTTTTTGATTTGCAAAGGAGCCATTGCCATATCCGAGAAGTACGCTTATAGTGTTATTATTGTTATTAGCAACGACAATATCCAGTTGAGTGTCGTTGTTAAAATCACCAACAGCTACAGACTTTGGCAAAAAGCCAGTGGAATATGTTCTTTGATTTGCAAAGGAGCCATTGCCATATCCAAGAAATACACTTATATTGTTGTCACCTCTATTAGCAACGACGATATCCAGATGGGTGTCCTTGTTAAAATCACCAACAGCTACAGAGTATGGCTCATTGGCAGTTGAATATATCGTTTGAATAGGAAAAAACTCGTCATAACCAAGCATGATACCTATAGTGCTCGTGTCATTGTTGATAAAGGCAATGTCTGAACGATTATCTCTGTTTAAATCACCTATGGCAATGGAGATTGATGAAGAAGATCCAGTTGAATACATTTTTGGACTTGCAAAGGCACCGTTGCCATATCCGACAAGTAGAGCTATATTATCAGTACCATTATTGGTCACGACTAAATCCATTCGATTGTCGTTGTTGAAGTCACCAATGCCAATAGAATATGGAGAAGCAGTGTCAAGTGAATATGTCGTCTGTCTCATAAAAGTTCCGTTGTCTTGACCCAGAAGTACACCTACACTGTTATTTCCATAGTTGGTGACGGCAATATCTAGTATGGTGTCTTCGTTTAAATGACCAACAACAAGTGAGTATGGATGGGAATTCGGACCAGTTGAGAACGTGATTTGATTCGCGAAAGTACTGTTACTAGTTCCAAGTAGTATACCAACATTGTTTGTACCATAGTTGGCGATAGCAAGGTCCATCTGTTTGTCGTTATTGAAATCGCCACTGACAACCGCAAACGGAAAAGAATCATAACCCGTAGGATACGTGCTCGGCCTTGAAAAGC